GCATGCAAAGGAAAATACAACAAAATAGTGTCATTTTGGTCAATGTTATTTTGTTATAAAGGTGATGAGGAAAAACATTCAATTCCAGGTTCGGGTCATTGCTTGTGTGGTATCCTCTCCCCATGTCTGCATGGGTTTTCTCCTGGCACTTTGTCTCCTCCCACATTTTAAAGATGTGCATGTTCGGTTCAATGGCATGTCTCAGTGTCTTAGTCTGAACGAGTGGGTGAGAGTGACAGGCCCTATGAAGGGAGGGCGTCCTACCAGGGTTGCTTCTTTCTCTGTATCCTGAGCTGCCTTGGATAGGTTTTGACCACTCAAGCAAGTTAGAAAATGCATGAATCAATATACATGATTATTTATTAGTAATATTATCTGGGGTCATTATTTAGACATTTGGTGACATTTCTATCACCAGAAATACACAGTAGAAATCTAACCCTTGCTTCTATCAATTAAAAGCTATGGTGGTTTTGATATACATCCTTTCTCTCAAAATTGCAGCTTTCAAGAACCTATGGTTGACTGTAAGTGAGGACTCATTATAGCTAACAATATAAGGAATACACCCACAGAGTCAGCATATGCTAAATGAAGTGAAATTGCTGGAGGTAGCACAGTAGCTAAGATGCAGAGAAGGGACCAGTGCATCTCACTCTCAGGGCAGACTTTGGACCTCTCCTACCACAGTCTCACTCCCAAACCATGGTGATGCTTGGCTCAACCCTGGTGAGGAGAGGGTTCTTTTGTCCTTGACACTTAGTAGCTGCACCCCCTACCTTATTCTCACTTCCCACCATCCCAGCAGTTGTGTGGGCTGAGGGAGGAAGTAGGTTTTTGATGTTCAAACATCACCTATCCCTGGGAAATAACACATAGTTACGCTCCAGAAATAATATGAATCGTTACAAGAAAACAAGGCCTCTAAAAAGAAAGAAAACAGTGTAACTATAAGTGGTTCTTAACTAGTCTCCTCTTATGAGTCTACTTTAAATAATGTGACTTGTTTAAAGATTCTAAAAGCAAATTAGCATCTGCGAATAAATACTCAGAGAAAATAGTTGTAACTAATTATACAAGGAAGTAAATGAGCAGACCCAAAGAAGCAATATATTATCAGAATACTAGTCACTAGATACAGTATGGCAAACTTTGAAACTGAATGTAAACTACAAGCGACACTGAATTTATTAATGCAGTCATTAAGAGCAATGATTAGTTAATCGTGGTTTAATCTCTCTGGCTACTGGCCTTATCTTGGGTGATCCATAACTGCATGAAAATGTCTTAAGATACAAATCTCATTTATGTAGTCTTGACTTTGGAGGGAGAAAATATTTCTAAATCTTTTTATAGTAAACATATTTTTTTCTCTATTTGCTATGTTTTTTTGGATTAATAATTTAAAAAGTGAATCTCATCTTTTGGAGTGACCCCACAGTCACTTATAAGGAAATGCTGACCATTACTAAAAATGGAAGCGTTAGTAGCTACATAGTTTTTAATTCACACAAATATGATGTGTATTTCATTTAATAATTCAATGTGAACTTTCTCCATTTTATGCTTAATTTTATCTATTATTTAAAAAAATAAAATTCAATGAAAATAAAATATATTCTGGAGATTTCATCGGTCTGTATGTTAGAGATAACTTGTCTTATATGGGTCCTCTTGGTAGGTGGGAGTATCTTATGGTAGAGGTAGCATTTTAGATGTGTTGCTCACATTTGCAGGTGAGTCAACAGAATGATCTACTGAATAACTTACATGAAGGTTTACTCTAACTAAGCTGGCTCACAGAAAAACACTGCTTGCATTAAATATGACATCTGGGGCCTCCCCGGTGGCGCAGCAGTTGAGCGCTGGGTTGCGAAGCTGCCTGCAGCCTTTGCAGTGCCGGTTCGATCCCCGGCTGCTCCCCGGCCACCGGAGGAGGGTCCCACATGGCGCGCAGACCTCTCCTGCCGCCCGCTGCTCCCCTCAGCAGTGTACATCGGTCCTTCTGCCTGATCTGCTCCCCGCTCTGGCTCTGGTGAATTCTCTCACCCTCCCGCGCTTCTGACTGTACCCAGTGCTTGTATAAATAAATAAATAAATAAATAAATAAATGTTTAAAATAAATAAATAAATAAATAAATATGACATCTGAGTTCTAACTACATATGCCTAAAGACACATAGAGTGAAGTCCAATGATCAACAGCTATTTAAGAGAAGGTATGTGTGGGCCACCCTGGTGGCCTATGGGTTAAGTCCCAACACTGCACATCTATGCCGAGTCCAATCTTTGGCCAGGGAGCTAAACCACATATGGTGCAGCAGACCTCTCCTGTCTTGCCCACTGCTTCCCTCAACAGTGTATTTCAGTAGATCCACCTGTTCTGCTCTCCACTCCGTCTCTGGTGAATTATCTCACCCCCTGCACCTCTGCGCTATACCCCAGTTCTTGTATGCATAAATAAATAAAAATAAATCTTTTTTTTTTTTTAAAATAAGAGATGGCATGTGTCCAGATCATCAATTCTCAAGTTCTATAAACTAGGGGACAAAAGTTTCTTGTACATGTGAGGTGACCCTCCCCCACAACTTCTAATTATGAAAAACTCCATTAGTAAATTCAAAACATGGGTTGCATTTGCATATTTAAATTGGTCACTGCCATGCAGTGATTTCCAGTACAAATTAAGGAAAGAAATTATTACTTTTCATCACTTCTGTTCACAGAAGTATTAAAATAAATGTGTGATTTGGGATTTATGGCTTTTAGTAAATGGACAGAAAGTTCTCTTTCTATTTATTGAAACTTTACTGTACTTTCAAATCAAGAGAAATGAAAGTTGAATGAATCTGCTCAAAAATCTTCAACTGTGTTAAAGGACAACTTAATATAGGGTTACTATATAAAGAACTGCCTTTGTCCTATTGTGTCCGCTTTTCTTTAACTAAAACTAAATTTACCCAAGTGTTATATATATTCTAAAGTCCTATTTGCCATGTTATTAAAGTCTTATAATAGAGACTCTAGATTATAAAATGTTTTGGGAGTGTATGCAATTCACTGAGGCAATAGGGTAAAAGATATTTGGGGCTCCAAACCAACATTTCATTTTCTAAGCCACAGGAGTCACACTCCTCCTGCTATGTACAAATTCTTACAGTGGTAAATCCAAAGGCCTTTCCTCATGTCATTTTTTATAAAAATACAGCTGTAGCATGTTTCAATTAAATGAAAATAAAGTGCAAGTAGTAGGAAAATACTTTATTATTGTTCTTAAAGGATTAACATATACATGCATCTCTCAGCCAAATATTTCATTATAAACAGTTTATGTCAGTTTATGTATCATTCTATGGGAACAGGATAAATAGGGACCACCACCATCTCTGTTGACAATACATTGATCTCACATTAATTTGATTGAAGGTGGCTTGCCAACACATCTCACTTTCCCCATTTGAGAGCACTCAGATAAGAAAAACACAGTGATGTTTAGCAGATAGGCCTGGTGACACAATAGAACACAACTCATTGAAGAAGTGTAATTATAGTGATTACTTCAGAAAAGAGAGCGGATACACTGATGGGAAGTAGTAAACATTGCACAATTATGGGAGCTGGGGTCCCTTTTGGTGTAGATACAGCCATCCCAGACAACACCAACCTAGCAATAAGAACACAGAAAGCTTTCCAACTTAACAACATAAAAGCACTAAAGGTTACCAAATGGTGTAAGCCAATTTGCCAAAGTGCTGGAACAAAGGGCTCCTCTGTTTTGGATGAATTCAATATATCAAATAGATTAGTCAAACAGCGTGGTTCTCCTTCCACAATTAAAACTAAGTACAAACATCAGGAAAGTTTGCCCCAGAGGAATGCAATCTGTAAATACTTTCTAAAGCTGTTATTTTGATGGCCCTGAAAAATAAACAATGTGGGTGTCTAGTTTTCTCAGGTAACACTCCCATGAGGCCAGCTATGGAGGCAAAGGAGGTTCATCTATGCCATTAGTTAGGCAAATATAATTTATTGGATTCAAAGCATCTAAAATTTGTATCATAATATGTCAAAAGTAGAGGAAAACTTCACTTCTCCCGGTCTACTAAATAAGAGATATAAATAGGAAGGAAAACAGACCTGAAAAGGATCCCAGAGCTCACCCTTTGTAACCGAGCCTGCATACCTAAAGAAACAGAGACTCCTAGAGGTTTTTGTTTTTTTTTTTTTCTTTTTAAAAAATTTTACTTTATTTTATATATTTTTACATCATTTTTCATTTTTGCACACTGTATGCATTTTCATCTTGGTTATAGTCCCCATACAATTCCCACCCACCTTGTTTTGCTTCTACTCCCTCCATACCCCCCACCCCCCGACCCCACAGTGTGTCTCTGGTTTATAGTTGCTTGTTGATTTTGATTTTCACTTTATTATAACTAGTCTTTTTCCTGGTCCCTTATTTAGGTTTTCTAATTTCTGCCATGAGTAAGACCATCCGGTATTTTTCTTTTTCTTTCTGGCTTATTTTGCTGAGCATGATCCCTTCCAGCTCCTAGAGTTTTTACAGCCTGCTCTCAGGTTGCACAGTATTGTTAGTGGAAGAGCAGAACTAGAATCTAAAGCTTCTGACTCCCAGTTCTGTGTTTCTGTGTTTGTCCTTATAATCTGAATGTTTTCCAGTACCAAATATTATAAAAACAACTCTTTATATAAATCTGTACTCTGGAAGTTATAGAGCAATTGAAGCCAATTCAAATCACCTGAACAAGACAGATAGACATGTTTCTTATGTCACATGTATATGTGCTTATATATGGAGATACATGTAAAGAGAATGTGAGGAGATGTGCAGAGACTAAAATAAGAAAGTGTGATAGAGATGAGTGAACGCAAAAGAGTAAGACAAAGTGGTAGGTTCGCACATCCGGGCAAAGGCAGAAAAAAGACAGTGAGGATTTAAATGATTTGCCCAAGGTCAAGAAGGCTCGAGGAAGCTGTACCTTAAACCCAATACTGCAACAGAAATCCCCCTGCTTCTCACACAAACTTCAATGAAGGCTCCAAACCAACAAGAGAGGTGAATTGGATTACAACACTGTAATTCTGATGTTGGATGAAGTACTTTTGTTTTTGCCCCCTCTCATTACATCATAATAGGATATTTAGAATGCAGTAGGTGGAATCTTTTTAATAGAATCTCAACAATGGCTGTTGTCTAAGTGGTTGAGATATACTTCTATTTAAACCATTTGCTAAGTCTTGCCTTGGAAAATAAACTATCAAAAGGAACTTTTTTTCTATCATTAAGGATTTAATGACTTTTACAACATAGGAGTCTTAAACTGGGATTCATGCAAGCATTTGAATTTACCTGTAAACACTTGATATTACATGCAAAATTTAGAGCACATATGCTTTTTTCTGAGAAAGAGGATCTATCTGGTTCTCAGAGATCTCTGACTCAGAAATACTGAGCCAATGTTTTGAAAAGGTTTCTTGGAAGGAATAATGACAATATTATATTTTCGTACATCAAAATTTAATTATTTGAATATTCTGGACAAAATTAATAATAATTCTTGAAAACCAATCATAATCAATCTTCAGTGCTCTCACACATTCAAAATGCTTAACAGCAAAATATTTCCCCAATCCCCCTTTTTTACTCTAGTCACTTTTAATGTGGAACTCTACTTACGAATAGGAAGTGGTGAACATGAATTTTATCTTAAAATTACTATGACCTAATTTACAACGAATTTCATTTATAGTTGGGATGGTTTGGTGGTAATATCATATAGGTAGGCTTTTTTTCCCCTCAATAAATCCAAAATACAAAATATTGTATTTAAGTCAAGTCTATCCTTAATGTAATGCTCTATTCATCAATATTGGAACAAACTGTTTTGAAGTCAGACCAAGGTAATCATATTATCTCATATTTTGATGCCTATAAAATTATCATTGTCCTCTGCTGCCAATAAAAACAGGGTTATAAAGAGGATTTTCCTATACCGTTAAGTACAACATGATCAGGGACATGGGGTCAAGTCAGGCACGAAGAATGAGAAAAACAGTAGCTTATTTCCAAAATGGTATCTATACATTTTAGCCTTTTGTAGTTCCTTCCCATAGTGAATTGAAACAGGCCCTCATACATTTTTTTTTGCAAGAGAATGTAGCAGAAGAAATACTGAGTCAGTCCCATCACAAGGTGAGGTAAGCTTTTATGCTTTTGAGGGGCTGATTTTTAATGTAAGACATTTTCCATGCTGAAGAGGACACATGGAAAAGCCACAGGGGTAGAAAGAGGCCCTGAGAACAGTCAGGGAGGCTTAGGTCCCAGCTGAACTTAGCCTTCCTGCAGACTCGTCCACCAGGAGACCAGACATTTGAGTGACCATACCAGTCATCCCTGCCATAACTGCAACTTCAACCAGTATTGACTTGAAGAACTATTTGCCTGTGCCCAGTTACCCACAGAATTATGAAAAGTAATACACTGATAGTGTCTTACACTGTTCATGGTTTTGGGTGATTTGTTAAACAGTAACAGAACACCAAAATTGAAGCTAAGCTTCTGCACAGTGATAGAGACCATAACTAAAAGAAAGAGACACCTTATCAGATGGGAGTAAATATTTGCAAACCATACATCTGACAAGGAATTGATAACAAAGATCTACAAAGATCCCAAACAACTCAACAAAAACTAAACAAGTAACCCAATCAGGGGGAAAAAAAAAATGGGCAGAGGAGCTAAATAGTTACTTCTCCAAAGAAGACATACAGATTTCCAATACACACATGAAAAAAACATTCACTATCACTTATCAGGGAGATGCAAATAAAAACCACAATGAGATACCACCTCACACCAGTGAGAATGGCCCATAAGTAATGAGTGCTAGCAAGGGTGTAGAAAAAAGGGAACCATCTTACAATGCTGGTGGGGATGTAGACTGATCCAGCCAATATGGAAAGCAGTGTGGAGGTTTCTCAAAAGACTGAAAATGGATTGTCCGTACAACCCAGCAATTCCACTCCTAGGTACCTACCTAAAAAATACAAAATCACTAATTTGAAAGGAAACCAGTACCCTTATGTCCATACCATGATTATTTATAGTAGCCAAGATATGGGCAAAACCAAAATGCCCAAAATAAGATGACAGATGAGTGGATCAAGATGTGGTGTGCATACACACACACACACACACACACACACACACACACACACACAATGGAATATTACTCAGCAATCAAAAAAATATATGTTCTTCCCATTTGCTGTAATATGGATGGTGCTGGAAGGGATGATGCTAATTGAAATAAGTCAGAAGGAGAGAGATAAACACCAGATGGTATCACTAATATGCACACTATAGGGAAATCAAACTAAGACTCAGAGAAAGACAAACTTAAAAACACACACATGCAAGCTGAGTATAGAACTGCAGCATCCAGAGTGGGCCTACCCACTCTGGAGATGGGGGAGTAAGAACAAAAAGGAAAGGGAGGAGTACAATGAACTTTGGTGGTGGACTATGGGCAATTTGGTGGCAGGTACTCTTCAGTGGCAATTCCTGATGGGGAGGATACTAATTTAGAAGAATAAATAAAACAAACACAGAATTGAAGCTAAGGCTAATACAGCATGAATAGTGAGTTCACAAGAGGTAATTTAGAAGATGATATATTGTAAATAACTGAAGCTAGGCCCTGCTGAGCAAGGAAGAAAAACCACTGAGTACCAACATGCCCATCATTAAGTGTTATTCACTACAGTGACAAAGTTTGAGTAACATTATTGCCCAAGGTCACATGACTAGAAAATGGAAGAGCCAGGAGTTGAAGGTAGGTCTGAATTCACATCTCATTCCGTGATACCATGCAGGCTCTGAAGCAGTAGAAGACTGACACACAGAAAGAGACTTGAATTTTAATTGTGTTGAAAACCTTTCTAAAGCATATCCATACATTAAAAAGTAGAATACATGCACTATCTATCATTTTACCTGTTTTAATGACTCATCATTATTACTGAAGGCTCAATTAGAATTCAACATGCTATAATATGCTCACAGCAACAGGTAGGATCATTTGGTTCCATCTTAAAATCATCCTCAAAGGTTTACTGTACATTTTAGCTCCTTCTCTGAATTACATATTGTTTTCTGTTTCTCTTTCTGTTAGGCTGTCTCTTGTTTCTAATGGAGACGGCTGAACAAGCAGGCTTATGCGAACTTTGTGAAAAGAGAAGATGGCTTTTAAGTGTGAGATTTCAGGACTTCCCTGTGAACAAAATACAGGTTACTTCTAACATCAAGTTTGATGTTTGGGGTGGTTAACATAAATTTAATGTTTTCAGTAGCCAGAGATGTAAATTCTAGATGAGAAAGCTTTTGGTAGAGCTACTGAATTCCTTTCAATATCGTGGCTTTGTACAGGAACTCAAGGAATCATTTCTGCCCTCAAGAGCTAAGTACCCTGGACAACCTGAGGATTTTCAAATTGGTCTCAGGAGGAACCCAGGGGTCTGCACCAACCCAACAGAAGATGTTTTACATATACTGCAATTAAATATTTTCTGACAAATGCTAAAGATTTAAAGCTATCCTTTCATTGCTTTTTTACCCATTTTATAATTTGAGGTTCTGGGTATCACTTAGTTTGAAAACAGAAAGTTCTGCCATTCAAACACCTTTGAAAAGCAGTGACTGAGGAGAGGTACTGTGGTTGGGGTGGGGGGTTGAGTGGGGCTGTGGGGCTGCCAGTCACTGGTACCTTAAAATACTTAGCCAATTTTTATTAAGGCAGTAAGAAATGTAATGTTAAACTTTACCGGAGAGAAAGTTTACACTGTTGATATTCTGCTCCTAGTCACTGTAGACTCAAACACTACATTATTGGCACAGCCTCTAAGCTCAACTCACTCTGCTTAGGAGATAAAAGACTTCTGCTAGCTAGTCACTACATCATAAGCAAATTTATTTATGATGTATAATACTGGATCATGTTACACTTATCATTAAGACACATCTGGCAGACTCATCCTTCCCAGGATTCTAAAAACGGCCATTTCAGAAAGCTTCATTCAAGCCAAACTTATACCCAGTAATAATTTTTTCTTTCACAGTGAATTTAGGGTATTCACTGATCAAAATGTGTACAGCTATCCTTTAAGGACATCCACAATTGCTACTGTCATACCTCCAGTTAGGCAGTTCAAATTGCTTAAAACTTTGGTAATGGCCACTTGGCTGCATTTGAGTGAAGGTCATTTCCCCTGTTCACAGCTCACACAGTGCCTATTGTACACATATCTGGGGTCCTTTACAAAGAACACTAATCAAGACGCAAAATAACATTGTAGCAAATAATCTTGTCACAAATTCCATTACAGAGTAAAAACTAAATAAAAATAACAGCTTCTCTGCCTATATTTAAAAATTTATATCACTTAGTGTCAGGCAATTCAGAGAAGAGAATTCTAACAAAAGAGAGAAGGTGACAGGAAAAGATCCATTAACTAAGACACACACACCAACACACATCCACCAAATAAAAATGGACCAGGAAAATTAGTACTTACAGAGAGGATTTTTCTATATTGTTTTAAAATATCTTACCAAAAATTGAGATAGATCGATAAATTAATAACCCTAAAATTACTGTGTGTAAATGTATTCACAGGAGTCTAGGCACTAACAGCAAAATTCTCAATTTAAACATTCATATTTAAATTCCCGCTCAGGTTAGTTAGCATATGTTATGCTAAATAAGTTCTTGTACTTTTACTTGTTTAAGAAGAAAGGTATGAATTATTCCTACTTCCATTTCTCAAGCTTCACAAACACCCTTGAACTTCCCTAACACTATAGTCCATAAATTCTCAGAAATGTCTGTAGTTACTGAGTAGTTTTCACTGGTTCCCAGACAAACTCAGTTCTAATTATCATTCCTGTTTTATAGGTTAAAAAAACTAGAAGCTAGAGGAAATGAGTGACTTTAGCAAAACATACACTTAGCTAACAGCGCATGTGGGAATTGACCATTACTGTAGCATAAAGGATATGAATTGATTTTGCCCTAAAACTAAGTATTTTGGTCAATTTCTTTCCCTTCTCACTAAAGCCTATTCCTTTCATTGCTCTCACATGAAACTTACACGTATTCATCTGAAGGGAGTTTTTGAAAAACAGTAATTAGTTTATTGTAAACTTAATAAACATGGGCAATTAAATAAATGACCTTGAAGAACTCATAAAGACCTAAATTCATTTCAAAATCATGTCTTCCTATATATATATATATATATATATATATACCCTCTCAAACATGCCCATACCACCTTACTAGAGTAAATGGCTGTGTCCTGGGTCATCACACTTTCTTTGAAAACATTGAGGTGGTGACCACTAATTAAAAAAAAAAATTCTTATGTTTAATCACTTCCATTTTTTTTCACTCAACATTTAACGTTTTTCTAAAACACATACTAATAAGCATAATAGTAATCAGAGGGAAAGGTCTGAAGCCATATTTCCAGAATTCAAATTTTAATGCTAATACTTTATAGTCATAGGACCTCTAGCAATGTAATTCATCAATCTGTACCTCAGTTTTGTCATCTGTGAAATGGCACATACCTCACAGGACTAATGTGAAGACTGAGTGAGCTGGTACATGTAATATGCTTAGATCAATGACGCGTACATAGTAAGCACTTGATACTTGAGAAGTAGGAACTATTTCTATCACATTCCAGGTGCTGTTCTAGGTACTGGAAATGTGAAGTTTCCTGTCTAGTTAACATTCTGTCAAATTCTTGAGTTATATACATTATTTTTTTCATATTAAAATGTATTATAAAGTTGTTACCAAGTGATGAAAAGACTTTAACAACAGGGAAAAATCTGAAGAAAACAAAACATAATTATTTTGCTTTAAGACTCAGATATTGCTGTTTTTACTATGGATATTGTTGTGTGACAACATCACTAATATTTCCAGAACTAAATCATGTTTTTAGTATAGTTTGTTATGTATTGATTACTTTAGGCATTAGTATTAATATTTTAAAGTATCATTGCTAATGCTTATATCAGAAAGTTATCTATTTTAAGTACATAATTTTGAAATATTTATGTGGTATTAGTCTACTCAAAGCACACCCTCCCTGTCAATGATTATCCATAAAATGAAGTCAGTTCAAAAGGCAATAAGCCAGTTCAAAATGCAAGACAGATTTTGTGCAATTGAAATTTACTTTTCAAAAGGTTTTTAAAAAAAAAAAAACATGTATTTTAAGAACATGTTTACAGACACTTTATTTTGAAATCAACAGAAAGGTAACCAGATTATTCTTAAGGCTGATGTCTAACGTTATCTAAGTCATCTGTGACTATGAACTGTATGAGCTGATGTTACCTGCCTGGCTAAAATGGATTTAAGCGCTAATATGAAAATATGAATAATCTGAAAGAAACTGTTCACAGTTTTCACTTGAAGTAGGTGAGAGTATTGAGCTATGAATAATCGTAAGGACTGGGGGAAAAGTGGCAAATAGCTGTCCTGTGTAATTTCATTAATTGTTTTTATTTTTACCTCCTTTCATTGATTTCATTCCATTTCTAGAACTATTACAGAGATCGGATTGCTGAATCCTGGGTAGGACGTAGTGCAATATTTAATATGCTATATAATCATTTTTATTTGAAGGGAGAGTCTTCAGAAGTGAATTAGCACACCTGCTAAATCGTAATTGTTTATAGGTAAGCACCTCATGTTATTTAGCATTAATTTTGATACAATACAAAGTATCCATTAGGCAAACAAAGACACATCACTGATGAAGATGTGACATTCTAATCAGGATTTCACTCATCCTCAAGAGCAATAATGCTGAGCTCTAGGAAACTATTTGTTCAGAATAACTGAAATTCTGACTTACTTTGAATATTAGTAAAACGAGTTAGGGTATAGCATTAAGTTGTATTTAACTTCGAAGTACCCAGTAGATCAACATGAAAAGGATTAGTATTGCTTTGTAAGGGCAAGGGCAAACACCTTGATCATGTGATGGACTCCACGCCTTGCTATTTTTGATGGGTCATCACATTTAACCATTTTACTTAAAATGGTTAAGTGAAGAAAAGAGGGAAGTAGGGATATTGTATTAATTCACAAAGAAGGAGAGTTCCAGAAAGAGATTTTAATAAATTATGGAGGGAATTCCAATTTGGGCTAAGACCAGGAGCTTATAATGTGAGCTTATCAGATCTATTATCCTAAGACTTTATGCTAAAACATACCTTGTATGAATATATGTACATGTTTACACACACACACACACACACAGTACAACTCAGTAGATCTTTTATTCTTCTCTGACAACTGATTTTCAATTAGAAAGTGTGGTATTTTAGGCCATGACCTTCAAGCCAATGCCGGACAAGCCATGACTTGGATATAGTTGGGTAGTCCAAAGGACTCCTAGGCATTGAGTTAACAAACCACCTAGACATGAAGCACCAATCTTGATTAGGTTCCAGAAACAGAAATAAGATAAATTAAGGACCTCCCAGTCCAATAGTGGAGACAAGGCAACAATAACTTATTATACAATGTGGTCAAAAAATAATAATATTAACAATAAAAATGATGGTAACAGCTGTGCAATGATAGTTTTTTAGTTGACACTAGAAATACAATACAGAGTGTTTGGAAACATCACAAGGTATAGTACCATATTCTCTCCAGGTTCCTAGTCTCCACCACCAAATTTTACTGGCAGCTTTTGTCACTGATCATATTCTCCTGACTGAAAAGTTAATCGCATTTTTATAACTTATGTCCGATGAATCCATTCTGATATGTTGTACTGTAAAACTGAATATAATCCAAACTCCTGAGGCTGATGTGCTCTGACTCCCACATACAGTTTATTTGCTCAGGGACAAACACATGGTTTAAACTCTAATTTTATAATATGCCCATAATGAAACATACACTAAACACACACACACACACATACACTCACATTGAGATCTTCATTTGCTGAGGTAATTTCCTCTCTATATACTCCGGCCAGCAAAGACATTTCAGGTCTGACTGTATGTAATTCTGGAACTACTTACAGAATAAGTGACCTAAGACAGGGAGACTTTCATTGTTTCTTCAACATCTTTTATAACAACTCTTCCAACAATGTCAAATTAGATCAAGGTGAAGAACATTGTTTTGAATCAAATGACTCTGGTCAGGAATAAGTAGGTTTCTTTTTGCAAATAACTGGTGACATAACCCTGGTAGAAACAAAATGTATTTCTCCAAGATTATTAAATAGTGCTTTTTCATATTGTATTATTTTTATTTTTTAATTGTACTAGTTTTTATTGAGGTAACATTGGTTTACAACAGCTCTGCAGATGCATCACCACACACAGCACACCCACCACCAGATACCCCTAGACCACTACCCTAGTCCATTTGACCCCTTCACCCTATGTTCCGTTCCATTGCCCTCCCCCTCTGGCAGCCTCAATTCTAAATCTTTTAATTAATTAATTAATCAATTAATTAATATCACACCATTTGCTGACTCTTACTCTTAGAGATTTGCAGAGATAATTTTCCTTGATACTAATACATGATCACCTTATGCTATTTATGGGATATCATGAGTTCCAAATGGCCAAAATATTAAGGCACTTGCTGTGACATATCATCTTAAATTAAAGCAAGATTAGAAGTGATAGTTTTAAAGTTATAGTGAAATGTGAGAAAAATAAGAAGATATTTCATAAAGGCACAAAATGTGAAAGCCTAACCTTGTGCTTAGAATTAATCTGGTCCCTAGTATGGGGCCAAATCAGGCCCCACTCCTAGAGGGGTTCATTAACTCAAACCTCTGTTGTGTGGCATCTACCTGTCCAGTCAGACAAGCTGGGACACTAGGCAGGGCATGAGAGTTTTGGAGTCAGAAGTTAAGATACCAAATGATTAAATTTGCCTTTCACAGGCATTATTTTCCACTGTTTCACCAATAAGGAAGCAGGCGCCTCTGTACTATTTCAACGGATCGGAAGGCTTTCTGGAGTAAGAGCATCAAGAGCGACTTTTTAAAATAGCAATACTCTTATCATAGTAAAACTTGCCTGCTGAGTCCAAAAGACAGCTGGCCTCCCCTACCTTTACAGTCCAGGAAGAATTTAAAATGTAAAGATTTCTGGCATGATTCCAGCTATTGGCTACTATAGATACTTTTAAATATCTACTCTTTTATTGATGTGAAGGCGTATGGATAGTCAGGTACATACTATAACTGGAAAACAGAAGGAAGCCCATCTTTAAAGTCTATCTGAAAGCAAACAATAAGAAACCTGTATTTTTCTTTTGTCCTCTCAAATAATCTGGTTCTATCAGACCCTACTACAGGGGAATAAATACACACTAGGGAATGCCAGGACATAGTTCATTCCTTATGATGATGAAAAGTTCGAGGGGGACTTCCAAAAACTAAATAGTATTTCCAATAAGAATGTTAAGGTTAGTGCCATTTTGATGTCAAATTCACCTTCTCCCTAATCCTTACTGATTTTTATTGAGCTCAAATTGAAGCCATCATAGAACTCTGTTTTAGGAAACTTTTTGACTCTCAACAAATTTAATTAGCAGGGATGATAAAACAGGTTCTGTAATGGTAAATGGAGAGCCTGGAAACATAAACACTGATAAATTCCAATGGAAATTTTGGCATACAATGTGCTAAAAGAGGCATACCCACACATAATGCTGGGGTATGTCAAGGATCTGATGTCAAACAGCTGGGCATATGTTTGCATGTGTGTGTGTTTGTGTGCATGTGTGTGGGTGTGCATATGTATTTGAACAGTTATCCTAAAGTAGACTGAGTGAAGCTGAAATTTTAAGAGGCATTCACAGTAGTCATATAAGACAAAGGAGATGAGTCCTATAATTAAGAGAAGCCTATATGTAACCAGCAATGACTTCTTTATTTGGCTAGACTATGGTAGTAAGAGGGAGACAGAATCCCTTATTATACATTTTTGGTTGTTCTACCAACTAGTATAGAAAAAAAAGGAGAATTATTCATTTTTCAATGAAAAGATTTCAAATATGCAACAGAAGGTACAGTGGCAATGTATACAAGTTGAGATTTTAAAATTCTAGCTATGTATGGTAATTTTGTGATCTGGAAGCTTAAGAATGAAGGGAAAGTTATAGTTAGAACTCACTTTCCCAGATTTAATATAAACTTA